AAATGAGTTAAGTGTTGTCAAAAAAACTGGACAAGCTATCGTAATAACGGAAATCAAAGGGTACACAAATTGAAGTAATATGATACCAATCCGAAGGATTATTATGATGACCAATGTAAAGAAAGGGGTTTTGATAAAATATTTTCGGTACAGACTAGGTTTCCGTTTATGTACGACTAACGCTTAAGCTGTACATGGTTGGTGAAAGCGTGGACTCTTGAAATGATTGAATTTATCCCCCTGGGTAACTTTGAAATAGAAATCATGGTAAGCCGGGCAACGTGGTTGCAAGAAATATTATCAGCTAGAAAACTTTGTCCTCCTATGTTTACTCTCCACCAACCATATGAAACGGTGTCAGATTGTGCTATTTTGAAGAACTTTCTGACAATGTCAGAAGGAATCTGTGGCTATGGAGGACATAACCAGTAGTTTTCCTCGACATATTATTGGATTATGTCTCAGTTATTGCATATTGGCAACATCGAGTATGCGTTTCACGCAGTGATACAAACGATGGTTCGACAGTTTGACGATGACGTCAACTCTTAGTCCTGAATTCATAACAAGGATCTCTTTCGGTATTGCATCTTGGCAGGAATTAATTCGTTTCTTAAGGTTTCTGTTGATAGATATTGAAATGTAATTATTATTGAAGAAGTTGTCTATTTCTTTAACAGTCATAATTGTAGAGCAAATCACCGAAATTCTGCAGAGCAGTGGAGGGATTAGCTTACTGTTTGTATTTATAGATACAAAACTATTCAACACAGTGAACTACCCTGTAAAGTTCATTTTCGTCACATCGCTCTTCCTTGACATTGTATCTACAAAATAGGACTTAACTGTATTTTCATCTTAAAAAGTTTAGATGGTTGGCCACAGTTGTTTCGCTGTGGAGGAATTCAGTAATCGAACAGTTTTTAAAGAAAATGAACAAAGTATCACACATATATTTTTGTACAAATGAAGGCTACAGATGACCTCTTGGAGTGAATCATTTCATAGACTCATTATTCGGATATCTACCACGGATATTAATGGCAATCACATGTGGTTCTTAGTCACAACATCCAATGTAAACTGCACATTCAGTACTCTGCTTCATATTAACTACTTTCGGTAGTTTGTGGATACGGTAGTGCTCAAGTTATTTAATCAAATGTAACCGCATAAATGACAAATAATTTCTGCTAAAGATACATTTGTATATAAAGAAGGAACATTTAGTGGGGTCTTATGCTTACAGGTCATACTCCATCAATGTAACTGGAAAGACTGAAAGCTTCCGAAACACTCCATTTAGAAGAGCACTGACCTCACGGGTTCAGGAATCTAATCAAATTATTCTTCCGTTACGTAATGGGGTAAATTCATTATATTTAATATTAAGCTCGGTGGAATAAAATTTTTATGCACTTTTGAATGAATAATAAAATACATAGACTGAGGTATATAACTCCTACTATTATTAAAACTATTTCATTATGTTCCTGGTAGAATGTGGGTCTTCAACAGCCCATTGCCATTTCACTCTGTTGTTGACAGTCCACTTTAGCTGACCCTATGATTCCTTGTAAGCTCTCATCCCCTCTTCGCCCGAAGTATTCTATGTCACACTCAGACCTGTCACTCGTCGCCTCCTACTCCGGTTCCAACTGAGGGCCAGACACCTGATGTCATCCAGCGTGTGTCCATTCAATCTTCATTTTCTCTGGCAAATTTTTGTGCAATAAATTCCTGATTGATTCATTCCCAGAGCTCGTTGTTACCGATTATTACTGGTTATCTTTTCTTAAGTGTTAAGCAAAGTGTATAACTCCTGATTATTTGCAATCAAAATATCCGACTTATAAAACACATGGGCAGCAAAATGTTCACCTGAGCTATAAACTGTCTGTATTATTAGAATGCGGCCTTCGACAGCGTCGACCGAGACGTAGTTTGGAAACTACTTCAACACTACGACGTACCTGAAGTCTTAATCAACCTCATTCAACAGCTACCCGACAGTGGCACGTGTCAGGTGATCCACAACATAAACTCAGCGAGGCGTTCGAAGTGAACACAGGATTAAGACAGGGCTGTCTATTATCACCGATGATTTTCTTAATTGTGGTGGACTAGATTGTGCGGAAGACTGTGCGTGGGAGCAAGAATTCAGGAATACGCTGCACTGACCAATAAGAAGACTCTAGAAGATCTGGATTTCACATGTGGATGATATATGTCTAATTTCGCACAAACTCGAAGACTTGCAGGCGAAAATCAACAAACTGGCTGCAGAGTCAGAGAAGACAGGACTCCAGGTGAACATGGAGAAGAAGGAGGTGATAAAGATAACCAGTCAACAGCAGCCACAACAACAACTAGAACCAATCACTATAGACGGGAGAGATTTAATAGACAGATTGCCTCCTTCACTTATCTAGCTAGGAAGCATTGTTTATTACTAAAAGCATGACTGGTGACGAAGCCAACATTAATGTCTTCTCTCGACTATCCCACATAATAAAAATCAAAAGTTACTGCAGTTAGACGGATTTCCTCCTTTATCTCCTGTGGAATACTTGATCCTTTTTCGATACGCAGTCTGAACTTTAGTCTGATTATGACACTACTAAGTATCCTGTTATCATGCCAGTTTGAATACGACTGTAGAGAAACTACAAAATGATTTCTCTTTTTTTCTTCTGTCTTCTGAGTGTTGTCGTTGTTTAGAAGCAAAGAAAGTAAATAACAAATTCAACAGACTCAGTGATAAAGATAAGAAAATATTGATTCCAGAAAGAAAAATTACTAGCCTATCGGTTTATTGGCTGAGCGTCGAGACCCGACTGCTAACTTGGTCATTATTTCACTTAAATCATCGCAGGTGAATCTGAAGTGTCATGTAAATTAATGACAAATTCTATTATTATTATTATTATTCCCTTAGGTTCAGAGTAGAACATTGGTCTTCGATAGCACATTGCCATATCACTCTGTTCTCTGTAGCCATCTTCAGCTGACTCCACGATTCTTCATAATCTCTCATGTCTTTCCCACACGATCTCCTTCATGTTACCTCCGACGTGATATCCAAATCGTCTTTATCACTTTAGGTCTGACTTTGTGCTAGATATCATTCAACATTCTTCCTAGTAAGAGAAATTAAGCAGAGAATATCCTTGTCAATAATTTCCTTTTCTGGCTCTACAGTTATATATGTATATATATATACACGGGATATTCTAGAATAACCTTCATTAACAGTATTAGTGTTTTTAAATACTCTAGATTCGTTAAGATCAATAAAATTACAGTTCAAAAAAGATAGGTAAGCCTTAATAAGTATTAAAATAGTAATAGCAAATAGAATCTGAAATAAAATTAGGAAAATTTCCACAACAAACTAAGGAACATTAAATCCTTAATGGTCAAGGTAAGGACAGTGTCTGAACCAACTATTTTTGGATGCATAAGTTAGGTTACATAATGTAGATGACAACGGCCTCTGCAACATGTAGTAGGTGAACTCATAAGTTAAAGTTAAGATTAGTTGGTATGCAGCAGATGACTTTGAAAGCCTCGTTTGCATCACTATTGAGTTCTGTATCCATGAGATGAGATAGAACAAAATTTGTTGGAGGCCAGGTTGCTGCTGCTGTGATTTCATTTTTCGGGAGGACATATTCTGATCGATGAAATTACTTGAAGGCCGCGTTATAACGCAAACTAGCAAAAGTCGGAATTTATGCTCCATTAAGTTACTCTCCAGTGGCTAAATGATCAACGGGTTGCCTCGTAACCTGAAGTCCATAGGTTCAACCCCTGGTGGGATCATGATGATGCCGATGAAGAGTCCAGTACCTCCTAGTTTACAGTCATCCTATAACTGAAGTCAATTCGTGATCAAAGTGAAATGAACTGAGTTTTTATTTAGAAAAGTAAATAGTTCTGTCGAAGGAGAAATGGAATCATTATGCATACAGTAAGAATGGCTGATATTATCAGTAAGTGAGTGTAAATAAGGCATAAATATTCAAGAGTGAGAGTTTTTTTAAAAAAAATAGGAAGTTTCAAAAGCAATTTATGCTTTACAAAAATTTTATTTTAAGAGCTATTTTTAGTCTTAACACTTGCGTGTATCACGATAAATCAGTGTATAGAAAAAGAAACGTCTAGTTGTTAAAAGTACAAATGGTAGTGAATTGAATTAATAATTATTTTAATGTAGACTTCGTCATAAATCTACATCATCTAGGGAATCAGTGAAAAGTAATGAGCTCTAGACAGCTGTTTCATCCAAATTTGGGACGCTTCTACAGAACGCCTTTTTAATCCCGATTTAAGATCGAAAGAATAACCCTCAGTGCACGTCAGAAGCATGTTGACAAATTAGGTACAGTGTTTGGCACTTAGTATCTATGAATTCTAACTCCTTTCCATTTGTTATATAATACCACGACTAACCAATATCATCTTTGAGTATCCACTACTCACTGGCATGGTTCACCTCATCGGATACGACTTCCTATTACAAATTTAAGATATCCATCCAGGGGCTACTTATGAGTTGGAGATCAATATTCAGATCTTAGGTGTTCTGGGAACTGACTTAACTCCAGTCTACGTCTCGATAAGAACTAAAATCATTTAGAGAATTACTAGAAATTAGGTAGCTCTAGGCAACTGTTTTGACATAGAAGTTTGTAATGGTTAATTGGATTATCTGGAGTAGTTTCAGGAAGTCGCAGCCAGTTCGAATCCTGAAGGGTATATTAAATCAGTCACAGTGTGACAGTCCAAGACGTTACATCAATTAGTCTCACGATCAACTGAATTTTTCTGGTTAAAGTTTGTAATTATCCTGATTTGCTTTTCGTCACATAACAATGCACTGAAGATATTTTACCACTTTATGATATAAATATGAATAATAAAGAAAAAGACTTTTGCATTAAATGAAATATTTCATTTTCTCTTTTATTTTCTCATTAATTTTCTCCCACACATAGGCTTATCCGATTTGTTGAGTCTGGGTTCAGTTCAATGAATTTATTCAAAATCTGAGAAGTATTTTCAGTCAGTGGATCAACCAGCACACACACAAGTTTCTCTTTTGAGTTTTTGGCAGTTTTGATAGTCATTCTACTATTAGACGTAATATGATGAATAAACTTCATGTGATACCGTCAAGCTTTATTTCAGAAGCAATAAAGCGAAGACTACTTAAAGCTCTATAAATAAATATAATTGTCAGGAAGAACAGAAGTGTTGCCTGGAAATAAGTATTCCCTTAAAGCATACAGCTTTTCAGAACTGTAGACGGGAGTAATCTGGAATGTTTCCGGGAGTATATATACCAGTGCTAAGCATTTATCTGCATTCAAATGAAAATCATTCTCTTCAAATACTTAAATTCAAACTTTCGTTCTTATTAGTTCTATTCCACCGATCAGTTTTAAGACAGGATCGTAAGAACTCAATAATTCGATTTTAGTTCACTGCCAATCGGAAGAAATGGAGATGGGTTGGCCATACTCTGAGGAAATCATCAAGTGACATCACTAGACAAGCCATTGCTGGAGTGGAACCCAGCCGAAAGGGAAGCAGCGAGTTGGTCGTCAGTGCAAGGGTGACTTGGAGGAGGTCATGTGAAGAGGAGATGAAAACGTGTGGGCAGACTTGGAGCCTGGTGAAAACTGTAGCAGAGAACCGAACTCAATGGAGACGCACGGCTGAAGCCCTACGTTCTTTTAGGAATTAAACGAAACAATAATAATAATCACTGCCAATCACTGATATGGACTTTCGCTATTTTCTAAAAAGTTATGACTTGTGGAACACAATAAAATGAATGTGAGGAGGGACATTGTCTCCTGGACTTACATGGCACTGAAATTTACCATAGAATGGTAGAGTTTGGAAATTCCGATCGGTGACACTTTGACTTACTGACTGAATGTTAACCTAACGATACTTTTGGAACCTCCAGAAATGCTATGGATAAGTACTGAGGAAAATTCCCAAACTAGGATGAAACATCGGTCCAATGCTTCTTATCTTTCGAATAAAAGAGAATAAGTGTATGAAGTATCCTGGTTTATTGTGGTTCTCCAAATGAATGTAAACCTAAAGTCAGTAAGTCTCTTTTTCCAAGGTAGATTCTCTGAAGTCCTTATCAGAGGTTTTGCCTGGTGGGATCAAGCGAATCGGGCTTAGGTATATCAGTACAGAGGTGTCGCTACATCACAAACTTCCTGAAGTGAAATTAACGAATCAAATCTCATTGTCCCTAAATCCAACCTGGTAGACCTCAGTGGTTACCATTTCACATTAGAACTACAGTAAATTAGTCCTACAGTCAATCACTTATGAGTATCAGATTAATTTCCAAATGTCATTTTATACGAATTCGATTGGTTTCAAGTTTGATCACAGACTGATACTAGCTAGAGAACTCTTGACAATCAGGGAGCATTGAACAGCTATTTCTTCCTTATTCGTGTCTCTTCAGTGACAGTCACCTATGACCTCATCTCCTAAGATGGTTTCAAGGACTTACCTGTTACAAGGCGATGACAACGAATGGAGGTGGCGCTAAGAATCTCCAAATGAATGACGTTGGAACTGATTGATTCCGGCAGATCGGCTGAATAATCGACGAGCTGTTCTTGTAACACAGAGGTCCTGGGTAGGATCCTAGGCAGTGTGATCATATGTTCGTGTTGCTGAAGTATCTTAAGCCAGGACAAAAGAGCTATTCACTACTATTCAGTTTTCGATTGGTCTTTAACTGATATCAACTAGTGGTCGAATCGTGCTATTTTTAATTGTCTAGAATTTTAAAGAATAGGCCGTAAAATAAAAATGGATTCAGTTTCTTTCTAATTAGTTTGATATTTTCCTAAGTTTGCTTCAATTTCGTCTCATGAGCGAGTCGGATGACTTGGCTTGATAAAGTCAGAAATAATTTGTTAACAGATGGTTATGATTATTCTGATATATATGTTACAAAAAGATAAAAGGACGTCATCAGTAATACCTTAAACAAGGAAGAGAAAAATATTTGACTAAAAGCATTATCACCAGTAGTATTGCTAGCAATAGGAGTACTAGTAGCAGACTGTTCTTTTCAAAAGCAGAAATAGTCCTATCTACTATTCTAAAAATATACTATTGTACAAACACGAGGTAGGGTTAATTTTGATAAAATTTTACAAACCTTGGTAACTGATTGTATCGCAGTTATCAGATAAGCATTAATTCTTTCTTGGATAGAATATCATCTAGAACATGTTATGTTATGATTTATCTCTCCAGCTGGAAGAACAAATACCTCAGGACACGTCTATTTAACTATTAAAAACTAATTTAATCCACATGCTTTTCTTTTAGTCATTTACATTTCGAATAGGACCTGAGGCTTTCAGCCTAGATTCAGTAGAGGCTTTATTATGCATTGGGGAGTTTCTAGTCTCACTTCCAATTTACCCTTCTTCCCAGGCTTAATACAGGAGAATAAACTAGTCAAGGTTGAGTAATGAGTCAGCCGGGAACAGAGTCCGTACCTCTCACTTGGCTGGACTGATTTCTACCCTTGAACTACTAACGAACAATTTCTTGGATAATAAGAATTAGTTTCCTTTGCTTATATATAAATTTAAGCCAAAAGTTTATGTATTAGAAATTAAACTATCTCTCTTACTCTTACTTAGCTTACTAGAATGAAATATGAATAAAAGAGAATAATATTGTCTGATTTGTAAATCCCTAAGGCATATCTGCTCATAATATTGTTTATAGATTTTGACTGAGATAAATAGAGCAACTTTTGATGTACTGTAAGAAATATATCTGCCAGCCCTGGTAAGTCCACAATACCTAATAGTAATAATGTTAATATACACCTCAGAAATGATAAGAATTGGTTAGTGAACTGATGCTGTAAGTGAATGTCTGATTAAAGAAACAAATATTCAGTTTATTCTAAATACGATGGTTATGTTACACGAACAGTCCGACGGATATAAATCATTCTTATAACAATTGCTTATATCCCTTGATGTGTCTGAAGTGGAATCATACTTTAGAAAACAGTTGGATTTCATAATTCATTTGGTAAAGTGGTAAGTGTATAATCTCAAAGATATTAGTACATATCCTGCTGTGATATACATTCTTTTTTCCCCTTACAAGTAAAACTCCTACAGTGTAATTACGTCAAAATAAATTGTCCTGTGATTACCGTACATATATGGTTCAATAGCAGAATGCTTATCAAACACGCGGGAGGTCTGAGTTTGATTCCTGGTGACCACACTCCGGGATAGTTAGTATTCAGCTTGAGAAGGAAGAAAGGTTGGAGAGGGGGCTAACAACTCCACCCCGAAAAAGACAACAACAACACCGGTACTGAAGCTTCAAAGCTTGAAGCCTTAAATTCCATTCTGAAATCAAAGAATGAAAAAGTTACCATGAAGGAAAAAGCTGAATTACATCAAAACAAAATATTAGGCATATCTGAAACAGTTTTACAGAATAATCTCATATCGACATATTTTTGATATTTGTGCGAGGACATAAGATATCTTTATGTATCCAGTGGTTTTTGTTCACAATAATTATATAAATTGTCTACAAATGTCCCTTATAAATTTCTAAGACATTGAATAATGAGTAAAGGATATCCTTTATGATAATTTCTTCTTCAGGCTTCCCAGATATATGTCTATATTGGTTAAGGAATAATTGATGCTGATAATAGTTATGTTGCTTTTTGATAATACTTAATTACTGGGATCTAAACTCCAGTATGTGTATACGAGTGGTTTCTCAGCAAACCAAAGTTCAGAACACGTGTATGTGATAATGTGTTACAAAATCAGTGGTGATGACTAACAGTAAACGCTCATGATTGATCTTCACAGTTAATTTTATTAGAACCGATTATAAACATTAAAAACTGAGGTTTCTTTTTAGGCTATCAGTGCTGTCAACATCAATTATTCCTAAATTCATATGAATACAGAGCTGTAGAGTTTGAGGAAGTTACAGACAAGACTACAATTAGCTCCTAACATAAATTTCATTAAATTGAAATTTTCAGGATAACTTAGTATTTTTAAAAGTCAGTGTTCAATGCTTGATATAATTAACACAAAATAAGTAAAGTAATCAGAACTATTTGAATAAATTGCATAACTGTAAATTCTGAGCAGTTTATAAAAATTTTGTGTCTCTGTTGACTGCAAATCCCATAGCCGAAGTAGGTATGCTTAAATTTCTCTGTATGCATACATAATTATCTTTTAGCTTGTTCTTAGCTGAAGAGAAACCAACGAAATAAATAACGGTCTCGTCTTATTTTCTGTACAAACATTCGTTTTCGCTTTATTTAAAATGATATAATTCATGACCTGATTACTGATTGCAAACGAAAGTATAAATATCAATCTCCAGCAAACTGAAGCATAGAAGGATGTCTTCAAGCCACGTTAAGAGGTTGCGATGGATGGGGTCTACCACGTAAAGGAGGAGTGAATGCTAATAGAAGGCATTGGTTTTGGGTAGAGCGATATGACTAGTCGACTAAGTTAAAATTCAAAGGTCACTGAATTCTGGATCAAGTGGCTCAATGGTCTACAAGCTTGGCTTCATAAACTGATGGCGTCATGAATGTAAGCCATTGAGGAGTTCCAAACTGGGATGAAATAGCTGTCCGATGCTCTCTATTTTTCAGTGGCTCTCTAACCAATGTTGGTTTGGGACAAAACCTACACCTAAATAATTCCGGATCTCAAAAAAACCCATAATTTAAATTTATTTAAGACATTAAGAGGACAATTATTCAGAGATGATATCAATTTGTTATTAAGTTGACAAATTCGACCTAAACAAAAGAAATTGGCATAATACTGACAAGGTGTGATTAAGAATCAAGGCAGTAGACAGAGCAGTTCAAATATGATATATGTGGTGTGATAGGAGATGAAATTCTGATGAAGCAGATAGGGAGAGACTAAGAAACTTGACTGCTTTATATAATACATATAGTCAACGCTAAAGTGTCAGAAAGAGGGAAAAATGTTTAAGTGGTAGGAAGATGGGACAAGTAATAAAACAGTAAGCAAAGAAACATCAAATTACCATGGGAATGCAAGGTGGACTAAAAAATCCTTCTGTATGCATAGATTAGGCTTTATTTTTTGGACTGCTGTTACTTCTGC